TCTCTCTCTCTCTCTCTCTCTAAAAGCGAACAATGAACTCTTCCACTTCCCCCAGGCGCTGCTGGACAACCAGGTGGACCCGGACAGCCGCGGAGAGAGCGGGATGACCGCCCTGCACTACGCCGCCTCTAAAGACCACGGAGAAATCCTCCGACTCATGGTATATAGAATAAGATAATGTTGAGTGGAATTACCACTAGATCAATATAAAAGTTTAGCTAAATTCAATTAATGAAATTAAATTACTTTACTTTACTTACCTTACCTTAACTTAACTTCTATAAACTTGAATTAAATTGAATTATTTTAACTGAAATTATATTAAATTAAATCATATTAATTTAAATTAAGTTAATGTATGGTCTGTATGGGTGCGTAAAATGAATTAATATGGGGACAATACTATTCTGAATGTGAAATATTGTGTTGTTTCGTGTAGATGCAGAAAGGCGCCAAGCCGTGTGCCAAGTGTGACTACGGCTACTATCCGATACATCTGGCGGCAAAATGTGCTGCTGCAGACGCCATGGAGGCGATCATAGAGCAAGGTATGAAGAGAAAGGGGGTGGGTGGAGGGGGAGATTAGGGGTGGGAGGTGGGAGTGTTGAGGGGAGATAGGAGTGTTATGGGTAGGTAGGAGGGGTGGGGGAAGGAAAGTTGGAGTGTTATGGGGAGGTAGGAGGGTATGGGGGAGGGAGGAAAGGGGGGAGGAGGTGAGGAGAGTGTTATGAGGAGGTAGTATGGTATAGGGGAGGGAGGGGAGGTGGGAAGGGGGGGTTGTAGAGTTTGGGGGGAAAGAGGGAGGGCGAGGTGGATTGGTTTGGGGGGAGGGAGGAAGGGGAAAGGGCGAAAGCAGGGTGGAAGAGGGAAGATAGGGAGGATGGGGATTGAAGAGAAGGAAAGGGGGGAGGTGAAAGGGACGAAGAGGTAGGGAATAGGGAAGGGAATGGTGGAAGGGGAGAAGGAGACAGGAAGGAAGGGAAGATAAGGGAATGGAGGAGCTGTTTTTTATAAAGAACTGCAACACATTTTTTTTTGGGGGGGGGGGTGGACATAGTACCACTGAATAGCCAGCCAAAAATTCATTTATTCTACCATTTATTTTCTCCCAGCGCTGACCAAAGGTTACAC